TGAGGGTGGGTGAGGGTGGGTGAGGGTGGGTGAGGGTGGGTGTGGGATGAGAATGGGGTGGGTATTAGGCTTTGTTCAGCGAGAATGAGGCTGAAGCCTACCCGAAATAAACAAAGGTTAAAATGGGTCCATGTATTAATCGTACGAAGATCTCTGGATAAATTGTGACGACTGAAAGGTAAACTTGTTTTTTCAATTTTTAAAACTGAATTTTAACTTACCAAATTCCATGATTGACTTGCTAGACTTCACCCACCATTCCAAAACTGGAACAAAACAAACGTAATGTTTATCAGAAAATTTTCCTGCACTCAATATCGTAATTGTTTAAGTTGTACATTACAAAAAAACTTGTTTATGAGCATAAAAGGTTCCCCAACCAACGTATTTCATCAAAACCCTCAATAATAAAAGAGCAACAAAAGGAAGCAAGAGATTACAGAGGAAAGAATCAATACTGCTCGTGCGTGTTCCTTCCACAGAACGGACAAATCTCGGACCAACACTTGGACATTCGATAGCGCTTAATTGGTTTTGAATTTCCACCGCTCATTTTACCTCAGCTCGGGAACGGAGCGACAGCTTTAAGACGGTAAAAATGAGCACCTTTCACGGCGCGGGCTCATTTCCAGTGCTTTACAATGTACAACCATTCGCTTCACCCGATGCTTGAGTTGCGACAAAACGAAGGAAATTTGAGAGCTTCATCAAGTAGCGTCATTGAAGTACCAGAAAAACGGGGGAAAAATTAAAGTGAAAAGAGCAGAGAGCTATGATTGAGCTGAGTCATGTGTGGCGCCAATCGTTACGGCGCTACTATTCAGCATGGCTGGTGCAGTGAAACGGACGGGAATGAAACAGCCGGATTGGTGCATCGCGCTCGTGCATTTCCACGACCGATGCAAATCTGGCCGTTATATCACTGCAACCGCTGTGTTTTACGCACACCGGAGAAAAGGTAGGAAAACCGCGCCCGAACGAATCGCTCCGATGCATAACTGCACTCAATGGCTCGGCGCCAGTTTAACACCCCCACATTTTTACTCGGAATTAAAATATTGGATGCTTTGCAAGATATGTTACAGCTCAGGGTGCTTCGGATAGAATGAATGAACGGAGGATGTTCGGAAGGTCCACATCCCACAGAGATTCTATACATCAAAGCTTCGGTGTGTACTCAAGCATTCATAGATTCAAAATACTTGTATTTTAATTGATAATAAATGGATAAGCGAGGAGATTGATCAAATTTTTCCACTATGCAACATCCGCCGTGGCTTCAAAATGGCGGTGGCAAAGCTAAAAATTTGAAAACATCGAAAGGCTGCACTGGAAAAAAAAACACATTGGATCTAAAGTCCAGACTCTTGAAAACATTGACAAGAAAAACGACTCTTGATTCAATCAGATTTAAGCTTAAATCAAAAGGAAATCCGCTCAAATTAAGAGGCTTGGTTCTTGATTTAAGCTTAAATCTGATCGAATCAAGAGTATTTTTTTTGTCGATGTTTTTAAGAGTCTGGACTCTAGATCCAATGTATTTTTTTCCAGTGTGGATATTTTAAACCACTAAAGGATCATACTATGTTAATATAAAAATTCGGTAGTGACATAATCTCAGTCAGTATCGTACAACTCCAATGTTACGGAAAACTTCAATCGTCACAAGACATAAAAATTCTTTAAAATTCATCTGAAACGTCCCTCTCTCCCCCCTCCCATCAAAAAAAAACGATAACTCGCAAAAAGAAAACTTTCAGTACGTAACTCAGAGTACTTCAACTCAATTTCAAATGATATAGAGGAAAAAAGTCAAGTCATGCGAAAAACTAAGCGTGCGCCAAGGATCATTACATCTTAACCGGGTGCGAGTAAAAATATGAGCCGTGCACGCCTCTAATCACTTTATCAGCGTTTGCCTGAGGTGGAAAATTTAGCTGGAAGCTCTGGACCACGCACCACTTCGCTTATCCGTTCACGTTCCGAGACTCATTTTAAGGGCTTAACTTCTTAAAAGGGATTTCTCATTTTTACGGCTGAGTTCAGAGTGGTTGGTCACATATCTAACATCTAGCCAAATTCGTGGCATACCTCTATCTCTCAGCACTTCTGCTTAATACCTACTTCAGCTCAAAAACCTTTGCGTCCAAGCTCAACTAAAAGTGAGGCTTTCTAACATCACTCGACTTTTATAAGTAAAAAATAAAAAATGAAAAAAAGAGAAAAAAATCAATAGAACACGCTAAAATTAAGTCAAGTTTACAGATGATCGAACTGAAATAAATTAATAAAAATGTTATAAGCATATCAATGAGGATAACGAAATGAAATTAAGTAACTGGTTAAATCCTAATAGGGCCATGCATATGAAAATATGCATCATTGAACTGTTCTAAAAATGTTAAAACTGAATTCCGCAATTACCTCATCGTAGCTGAGGTGCAATTTTCTACACGTAAGCACTCTCACTCTGATGGTCAGAAAAACGCAAAAGCTCTATTTTATAGACAGAAAACTTTACTTTTGTAGATCTCTAATAAAAGGGACGAAGACAAGTTAAGTACACTTTTCGCGGCTCTTACGCCTTCAAGCTCATGTATTTAAAATTTCCAATCGGTCACTCTCCCCCTTGAAAGTAAGTGAAGATCAGGGCCGGATTTTCCTACTTGCCACCCCCTTCTCATTCGTTTTGAAACATCAATAAAAACCATCAAGTGAACGTGCTAGCGTTAATCGTGTTGAACATTTTTTGGGAAACCCACGTCAACACTACTGGCAAAAGGTCACGGAACTTTGCGCGAAAGTCAAGTTTCGTAAACCTACCTCTAATGGACAAGGCCTTCCATTCATAAGAAAAAAAAGGCCTTTCATTATTTCATTTCATAAGAAATGAATGAAAAATTATGAAAGAACAAACACTAAATTTGGTTAAATGATTTTAACTTCCGCCGCCGTGCCGCGCCGACCGCACCGTGTTTGGCGCAATGCGTGAAGTATTCACGCAGTCTTGTAGGCGCTGTGCGTTTCACGCTGACCACAATAACCGCACTGTGTTTGATGCAATGCGTGAAGTATTCGTGCAGTCTTGTAGGCGTTAATATGTGTTACATGCCGATTGCCGCGCCAATGACTTCTCCTTTTCATCTCAAGTCCTCGTCATCATTCCTCTCTGCGCTGAGCTTCAGGCCAAATTGTGTGTTTGGTTTCTCTCTTAACTCGACTAATTAAAGGTGCTGTCTTTTGTATCACTGAAAGACGACAAAATTAGAAATTACTATACTCTCAGGAAATGAGAGATTTTTTAGCCTTTTCGCGTTTGTAATTTTTTTTTCTAAATCCGATTTTTATACCTACATGTAAAAAAATTGCAAAATTTGCCACCCCCTAGATTTGCCGCCATGGGCCGCGGCCCATGTGGCCACCTCCTTAATCCGGCCTTGGTGAAGATAGGAAAGTTTCGCCTACTTCCTTATCTGTTCGTCAGCAATCGACAATATAACTATGAAAAAATGGCTCATTCGTGGTGTCTTAAATTTTTCACATGTACTAAAATTTTCTAAAAAAGAATTTGACAAAAATTTTGTGCAATAACGATGAGCATTGAGCAACCATCCTTTAAGAGTTGAAAATCCCCAACGTCACAGACCAAGATACGTGGTTTTGTGCTTTCATCATCAATATGGATCCATAGTTCGTCACGTAATTCATTGCCGGTCCTTCGGGTGAGAATGTGACTCACATTGAATTTATTCCTTAAATTCGCCCCGGGTTTTACCATCGAGTCAACTTCCATGTAATTCAATTCTCCCCCGCCTGAATTGGCTCAGTTCGATGGAATAATCATTAAATTTAATTTTCCTTCTTTCTTCGTTCGAGAGGCATCTGAGGACTTCTAGAGGTCTTCGGTTGAAATTCCAACCCCCTCGGAGAGGGTAAGAGGCCTCAAGGGTAGATAGGGGAAGTCACTCCGGACAGTTGATAATTTAGCTAATTAAAGGCGTGATGCGAAAGAGTGAAGAGAAATGGATGAGCATGAACTTGGAGACGGGGGATGGGGGAGGGGGAGGGTGCGAGAAGCCTTAAGTGGGCCCTCGCGTGGCCGGAGCCAGAACGCACCGTGTAAAGCTGAAAATCCGTGACACGTGAAGCTATTGTGACTTCAAGTTGGCGAACCCGGAACGACGCCCACGCTGTCAAATAGCTCAGTAATTGACAAAAACACAAAAATGATGCCATATTTTAAGAAAGAAGGGGCTCCTGTGTTTTGATTGATCAGGGGACTTAAAAAACATTCGTCCTTTCGTGAAGTTGAATGCGTAACTCTTGTCAATCCCATTTTACACCTTGGACCCATGTATCCTGTTCCTGTGATACTTTTTCAAAAAACACACTAATACTCTGCTTTTATTGGAAATTGACAACTATACACACGAATGATGCCATATATTCAGAGTGGATTGGCTCCTGAGTTTTGGTCGATCAGAGGGCTTAAAAAACGTTCGTCATTTTGTGAGGTTGAATGCGTAACTCTTTGTCAGTCCCATTTTACCCCCTGAAACTGTACCGCGCTCCAGTGTTAAATTTTTCATTGCAATATAAGTGAGCTCATTTTGAAACAGGTTTGACAATTGACACAGCCAAAAATGAAAAATAAATAAATTAATAAAAGTATAAAAAAATAAAAAATCTAAAAAAATAAAAATTTTAAAAAAATAGACAAATAAAAATAAACAAAAGACAAAAAAATAAATAATAATAAAAAAGTAAAAAAATAAGAAATAAAATATAAAAAATTAAAAAAAATATTAAAAAAAGTAAAACGTGGTATTGCTGTCAAGGCTCATTTTAAAAGGCGGTAATATGTTACATTTTGATCGAAGATCGACCCCTTATGAAAAAATTCGACACAGTTCAGCAACTCTGACGCAAAATTCAACTTCAAGACGCAAAAAGAAGCGATTCGGCGGAAATACTTGGCGGCATGGTGGGGCGCGTAATTCGGCCGTGACAGTTGATAGATCGGCTCCAGGAACCGCGCACTCTTGTACGCAAACCCCCAAAAGCCCTCCCACACCCCTATTATAATTCACCCGTGTGCACCCTCCTCTCCGCCCTCTCCACCGAGTTCAAGAGCTCCTCCTGAACTTGACGAACTTTAAAAGCGAAGTCAAAATAGAGCAACGAATCCCGACTCTTCAGTCCGAGTGTTGTCTTCGGAGATTTTCAAAAGGAACGTCAGAGCGGGAGGACGACGGCGAGGGAGCCT